GTTAAGATGGACCCCAGAACCTCACTATATCATGCTCAAATAGCTTAAGTGACAAATGTTTTTGAGATATCGATAAACATATACGATGTGTTTTTTATTTGTACAACTGTGGTCGATTTTGATTATCACAAAGCTATTTCAACCTCTGGCTTCGGTTTTGGTTAGCCGGACAGTACCCATTTCACTCATAAATTCAATAATTTGTGAGGTCGGAATATTCAGGTGCCCATATTTACGAATGTTTATGTGCTTAAATAACTAGTACGATAATGTCACCTGTTAACTGCATAAAATTTGGGATAATTTCCCAATTTACTAATCCTAACAGAAATTATTCATTGTGATTTTAAATCCCGAAGTGGTACAGGTAGTAGTATTAGCAGCAATAAGAAAGATTAGGGATGAAAGATATGATTCGACAATTAAATCTCAGTTAAGCGAAATAAAGTCATGAAGAATTCAGAAGACTAGGATTTGAAAGAAGACAAAGAAGGGATGCACATGCGCAATCACAAACGATTTTGAGCCATGTTATTCAAGGTCTTTAACTATCGGTTACCATCATTTTGTGCAAACCAACCTGGTAGTCTACACCTACCAAATTTTGGACAAAATTGATAAATTTTGGGACAGTCCCATTGAAATACAACAAAAAACCCGGAATTCAACCATCCAAGATTTATTCGTTTATGATTTCTCCAAGAATTAACCCAAAACGGATCTGAAATTCTCACTCATATTGGGAAAAACGCTATGAATCAGCCATAAGAAAAACCTAAAATTTTAACTCATGATGAGTTTTTTCCCGCAATTCTTCAGATTTTTTCGTATGTACGGAAAATGGTATAAACTAGTGATAGAAAACCCCAAAATCCCTACATGTTTTTGGCTTTGCTTTCCTAAATTTCCTCAGGTTTATGATTGATACGTAATAATATGTGAATTAACATGTGTCTGAATTTTGAATATTAGAGCAGGAATCTTATTGGACACCAATAAAAGAAGTCAAAACGATTTTAGCGGTTGACGATACTTAAGAGAGGAACAGAAAGCATCAATCTTATCAACATACCTTTAATCCATCAGGACTGAGAGTGACGGAAAAATCTTTCTGAAGTCCAGTTCGACCTGAAGCTGCAATTTTAAAAGCTCCACGCCTAATTACATTAAAATAACAGAATCTGGAACTCTATAAAAAATAACGTTTCGATGATAACCACGGTAGATTACCGAAGACATTTGACCAATCCCCAACGGATGAACAACCCGCATAATCTAATGTCCAATATTTCTGTGACGACATTATGAGCTGATTGTTTTCTTCGCTTTCGTTTCTTGATGGCCTTTAAGCCACTAGCTTGTAGGCATATTCAACCTTTGTGAAAGCACCTGAATATGTGGCAGATGTAAATTGTGAAAATCAGTAAACTCATGATACCACCTTGAACAACAGCACTAGTTATTGGTCGTGTTGGATAGTTAGATTTAGTTATCTACTGTCGTTTCCTCAGAAGATATTTATTTCGTCTCTCTAGAGAATTGGTAGTTCTGATGGGAAACAGCTTGTTAGTTAAGAGATTGAGACATCTATCAAATAGTCTGCTATTACTAATGCATAATATGATCTTAGGATAATATCGTGAAATGACCTAAGTTATCAGAGCTATGTAATATATCAGGGCCGTATATTTCAAGTAATCTGATTGCACATATACCTGTTAAGAACATTCATTTATGAAAAATAAAAGGTCAACTAGGCAAATTGAGTCCAAGAGGAAACAAGGTTAAGGAAGAGAAAATACTAAATACCAGAGTGGAAAATATCATTATGGATACAAGGACAGTATTACTAATGTAGGTTTAGAGTGTTAAAAACTGTTTCTGAATACATAGAGAGGGTTGAAACCTTCGTATGTCCATGGCTTCAGTAAACCTTAATATGCGCCATAGAATACTTTTCTGTATACTACACCATGAAAGCAGAGTTAAGAACAGTCTTACGACCTGATACAGCTATGTTTAGAGATTGAGATCAATGAATGTGTACCGTCTACTAGTATTGGGTCATTCGATTTCTTTCGTGCTTGCGGACATTTAAGAGACCTAATTTTAATGTCACAATTACTCCTCCCTATGTATTTAGCCACACATATTTACGGTTAAAACACAAGTGGATATGATTGAACAATTTATATGCCTTTGAAATTTCCGGTGAAACATGGACCTAGGATTTTCTATGATGATGACGCTTATTGCGTAATACGGTCCATCGAGTGCAGTTTCGAGTTCTGGTTTCAATTTGACTCACCTGCGGACGGCAAACGTCTCACGATAAATGCTGAGTTCCTTCGGAAGTCAAATGGCCTATACCCATTCTGACAACCACGTAGTGGTTTACTTTTACGATGCACTTGTACTTAATTCTGACAATAATTGTTGTACTGTACACCTCTTGTTTATCTATACTAAAAACTACCTCTCGCGCGCCAAGCGTGTTATTCCCATTCTCCTCTTCGCACGTCTCCTGCGTGGATGTAAGCCGTTTGTACTCCCTCTTGCCTCAATATTATTTCGATATCACGAGGCCAATATCAAATGTACTTCCTCCTCTAGAATCTCCTTTTTATTTGATTCTCAGAGTTCCGGGATTAACATTTGTTATCTCGCGAAGAATTATATCGGACGAATCACTATACTGGTGAGCTACAAATTCGAATAAGCAGCAAATTCGGTGAGTTTGTCATTTTTCTATCCCATTTTCTTACTATTTTATCTGTGGCGTTATATAATTGTTATTTTCATATCTATAAATATACCACAAGTGTAGCAGCGTTTGAAAATGGTAGATAAGCTTAAAAACGACGATATTTTAGCTGACTCACAGATACGGGTTCTATGTTTTCGATCTGTATCGTTTATCCCCCATGATCCAGAGGTCTGGTTCGCGGCACTGAAAGCGTAATTTGAGATCCGCCGCTTTACGAACCAGCGGCAAATGTATGCCTACACCCTGTAATATCTACCGAGGGATCATATAGCCGCCGTTCGTGAGGTCATCCTCATCTCTGACGTACTAGACGTATACCATCGTCTCAAGCAGGCGATTCTTCAACATTTCCTCTCATCGAGGGAGGAACGACTGAGGACACTTTTAGCACGTCACCCCCTGGGTGATACTAAGCCTAGCCAACAACTCACGCGCCTACAATCATCAGGACGACCAATGGCATCCGACTGTGACGTCCAACGAGCCCGCTCGCGATCTTAAAAGGCTGCAAGTACTCGCTCCCAGGGGGCATCTTCCAAGCCACTCCAAAAGGCCGCTTCCGAAGCGAGTACCGGTTGGTGCTGGTTCCACCACACTTTTATTCTGAAGCCCGTCATTGTCGACCACCCTGCTCATGCAAGGCGGGAAACTTCAAAGCCGACGAGCAAACGCGGCCTTACTTTTCGGCCCCTCACAGGTTGGCCGCCTCTTTTACATGCAGGATATCCACATTAACTCTGGGTACCTCGTAGACACAGGTGCCCAAGTTTCTGTCGTACCACTAGGTAGCAGCAAGTCCCAACCTATGATGCTTCGACTACGCGCTGCGAATGACTGTCACTCCTATCTATGATAAACGACAGCTATCGGTCAACCTGAGCTACCGACAACAGTATCTGTGGACGTTCATCATTGCTGATGTTCCCAAAGCCATAATAGGTTTCGATTTCCTACATCACAATGAAGTGCTAGTCGATTCACGTAAGCTGAAGCTAATCGATAGCTATCCCATCTCCCACATATACGACATCACGACATCTCTTAAGGGCATGACTACCTATTCTAAGATTGATCTGGTACGAGTATATCATCAGATCCCAGTCACTCTTGAAGATAATAAGAAAACTGCTATCACGACTCCTTTCGGTCTTTTTGAGTCCACACGAATGCCATTTGGATTACGGAATGCTGCTCAAACTTTCCAAAGGTTTATCGATTGCATAGTACGAGACTTCGATTTTGTTCACGTCTATATTGATGATCTGCTGATCGCATCATCAAATGTAGATGAACAATATCAACATCTTACGCTCTTATTCCAACGCCTTTCGGATAACGGAATAGTAGTTAACCCAGACAAGTGTGAACTTGGCAAGGAAGAAATAAAATTCTTGAGTCACATCATTTGGCATGAGGGTATTCTACCTTGCGAAGATAAAGTACGTACAATCACGGAGTACACTGTGCTGTCTTCACTCAAGGAACTGAAGGCTTTTCTCCGTTTGGTCAACTTTTACAGGCTTTTCATTCCTCACTCGGTAGAGCAGTTACGACCATTAACCGACTTACCTCGCGTTAATCCACGCACACTAGAATTGAACGATGCCGCGCGTACTGCATTTTCTGGGATCAAAAAAGCTTTAGCTCAAGCCAGGCTCCTTGCCCATCTTGGCCCATGAGACACGCTTAGTATGGCGATTGATGCTTCAGATTTCACAACAGGAGTTTTTATGCGACAGAACATCTCTGGGAGTCGGCAACCTCTCGAATTCTTCTCATGACGCCTTACTCCCACAGAGACGATATAGCGCTTTTGGTCGCGAACTGCTAGCAGCCTACTGTGCCACCAAACATTTCTGCAACTCAGTAGAAGGTCGTATTTTTATCCTTCTCACCGATCATAAGCCTCTAACGTATGCTTTGCATGACGAGTCTGACCGCTACTCACCACGACAGTCCGGATCTTTGGATAATATTTCTCAGTTCACGACAGACATTTGTCAAATTAAAGGCGAGTCGAACTATGTTGCCGACGCTCTCTCACGTATTCAAGTAAATGCAGTTACTTTACTAGTGCTCGATCTTCCTGCTATGGCCTCTGCCCAAACAAATTATCCCTCTTGTACGAAAGCACGACAATAGACATCCTTTCAGTGCCGGGAAGTACTACTAGCTACCACCTCAATTACTATCCTGTGTGACAATTTTACTGGTTTACCCCGACCCATCGTACATTCTGCTCATTATCGCCTCGTCTTCCATTCCCTTCATGGTTTGTCTCATCCAGGTATCGCAGCCACATTACGTCTCATCGCTGCACGATACGTCTGGCCGTCCATGAATAAAGATGTCCGTATGTGGGTAAAGAAGTGCTTACAATGTCAGCGACCAAAAGTGCGCAGCCATGTAACCGCCCCTATCGGCACATTTGTTACGCTTAATGCTCGCTTCGATTATGTTCATATTGATATTGTAGGACCAATGCCACCATCGCATGGGCATGATCACATGCTCACGTGCATTGATCGTTTCACGAGATGGCCCCAAGCTATTCCCATCACTTCTATTAATAATAATATAATAATATATATTTATTCTCAAATAACTACGTTACAAGAGTCACGCCAGTTTACAGGCTAGATCAAATTGTCACAAATGCTTTCACAATCACTGTAAAGTTATAACAGTTAAATTAAGTGTAAGAGTCAGTTTCTGATTGCATATTTACACCATGTCACTGACAGAAACAGCATGATACAGCCACATTTTCAATAGCAGAGTACAAATAATTAAGGTGCACAATAGGTTCTTTTGGCGATTTGTCGAGATCAATAGTGAATTTGTTGGGAAAGGTCATATGGAACGCGCTTGATACGAGCTGTGATCCAGACAGTCATGTACATAGGGTGCATCTACCCTAGAGTCGCCAAGGATTTCCCACCATGAATGGGGTTCTGAAAAGGAGAAGAGAGAGAGAAAAAGGCAGCAGTGTGGCAAGTGTGTATATATAACCAAAGCACTACTTAACTTGTCATGTTCAAGCGGTCAATACAGTAGTAAGTCAAGATAAAATTCATACTGACCACTTAAATTAGAGTAAATTATGGGAATATAAGAATATAACACACAGATAAAGGAGTACAGCAAAAAAGAAGGAAGAGTTGTGCAGTGTCAGGTGGATAGAAGAGAAGTCGAAGTAAGAAGCTGGATTTGTGTACGTTGAAATCGAAAGAGTAGAGTTTGTAAAAAGAAAACTTTGATGAATAAAAT